TCTGTTAAGCATATTGTTTGGATGCCAAGGAAACTGTATTCCAGTGGGATTGGTGGCTCATTCTTGTCAACATTCTATTAATGTGCATCACATTAGTCAAAGCACACCATCTTCACGCGTTTCCAACATCATTTCCTCGTGCGGAAAAAATTTTCTTACATCGTGGTTTTGATATACATGACTACTTAAATTAATGTAAAAAGGTGCGTGACGTCTAGTTCTCATTTTTTTTCATTCCAACGCACACACACACTGAACGTATTTTGACACACTCGTTCTGTCACAACCGATGTGAGATGATTGCTGATGTGGCGCCTTTTGGAGAAGGAACCAATCCACTCTGAGCTGCCGGTGGTGAAAGGTCACCAGGAATACATTAGCATAAAAAGTGGACATTGAGCACGGGCTCCTGCAGTTTGGGACGAGCTTCTTTGGGCATGGCCAGGGTTGGTGTTGCCCTACATGCGACTGAGAAGGCATGGTGAGTGAGTGGGGGGGGAGGGCAACGCCTTCACATCGCCACGACCGGCGATGTACATTATAAAGCGCTGGTTTGTAAAAAAGAAAAGAAAAAACACGCGCTGGTATTGCCACTTGTGTTGGTCAACTTCCTTTTCATTTTTTTTTTACTTGTGAGCAGCTGCAGTACTTGTACACGCGACTTCATGTAAAACAGCCGGTTGGCTCTTTTCGGAGGTCAACTGTACTGCAGTTAAAGTACGTCGTTGCGTTTTCACACTTTGCCAAAATGGGGTTGTAAAACACTATAAATGTGCGAGCACATTTGGTACCAGTGATCACGGGGGGAGGGGGACGACGTTAAAAGTTGAACGTCTTTTTTTGTCCAATCTCGAAAAACTGGTTATACATGGTAAAAAAAAGGAGGAAACAGTGACCTAATGATGACCATTACAAGATCATGGTCATCACAAGCTTGACCTATACTTCGAGCAGAAGGGTTCAGCTGCACCTGGAGAAAACCGGTACTATTGATTGCCAGTCGCAATTGGATTTTCTACCTGCCTGCAGTACACAACAACAATGTTTGCTGACAAGTTGCTGTTTGTAGATACAATAAAACTCAAGGTGGATAGCTCACAGGAAAGTAGTTTTTTTCACTTCATATTCATTGATAACAGCCATGATCAATTCACAACTGGATGAGGGCCTCCCCGTGTTGTGATCTGCTCACAGTCATGCGATGGTCTTGCACATGAGCTAATCTCATCGCTCCATCTCCATGGGGGTACTTTCTCAGGCGATTTCCATCATGTCACCACTCTTCCATTGGTCGTCATCCCTTTTACTTGGCAGATCATTGTATGAATGTATGTAGAACTTATTTCGCACCTTATGGAGCCAACCGTGCTAATTGAAGATGCGGGGAAAGGACAACAAACTTAAGACAAAAAACGTTTCTCAAGAAATGAGTTTTCAATCTCGATTTAAAAGTGCATAGCTCCAGTGGCTACCTAATATCGAAAGGAAGATCATTCTAGATGACCACAGAAGCGCATGTGAAAGTGCACGATGCAGTGACCGTCTTTGTTCGATGGATAGCCAAAAGCTGCTGCGAGGATGACCGGAGTTTGCGTGATGGTTTTATGCTCCTTGACGAGAGCATAAACTGTCACTATGATGTCACTAAATAGAGTTGATTTTTTGATCCATGCGTTCCACTTCCTGTCCCATCTCTTGGTGCAACTCCAAGCATGTTTTGCATACTTTTCAGATTTTGTTCTATTATCTTCGTTAGTATAACTTGTAAATAACAAACATACTGTACACTCATTGAAATATATTGTTTACATTTTTATGTGAAATTTGTTACGAAGTTTATTCTTGTTAAGTATAACAAGAAAGATAGGAATTATAATCTTAAGTATTTTTCCAAATGTATACGTCTACTGTAAGAAATGCATTGGCACGGTAACTAATCATGTAAATGACACAATGACGAAAAATAAATGGCTTTAAAAAATGTACTATTTTCAATCAAAAAATGTTCCTGACATACATCTGTGATACCATCACAATCGCTATGAACTCAAAGTCAAGAGGTCATCACAGGTAGTATTGATTCTTACACACGTTGGTACCACTTCTGCTAGATGACTGTAGTTGTTGTAAGGTCAACGCCCATCATATAAAGGTCTCCTCTTACAGAATCCCCCCAGTTGGCTTGAAGATTTTGGATGCCAGCTAGGGTTGCCACCGATTCTGGTATTCCCAGGATCATGCTCTTTTTGAGGCAGCTGTTTGGGAATTCTGTAAATCTTCCCGGGGCATTCCAAGTCTCAGTTTTCGTTATCTGCATAATAATACAGCACTCTAGACAATTCATTTACATGCAGTTTTCTGCTGGTATTGTGCGATATTCTTTCCATGATCTAGATTTTTGTGCCTTCAGAGGTGGCAATTTGATCATTGCTAAACTCTGGGTGTTCACTCTAATATATTATTCAGGAACCTGCCATGTACAGGTGCCCCAACCATCACAACATCCTCTTCCTACTTACCGGTACAGCTAACGAGTGGATTATCCATGTTGTGGATTAATCATGTTTGCAAAGAAAACAAATAGGTTAAATCTTGACTTAAAGCTTTCGTGACTGCAGGAAATAGGTTAGCTTTACATTCTCACTGTTTATGTTATTAGCCGCTTCTTACTTTTCAAAGATCATTTACCCCAGTGTACACAGGACCACAAACATGTCAGCAAGTAAACTGATCACTTGAAGAAAAAAACTAATTGTGTGTTCTCTGCCTTCACTCTCATCGTAAACATGTAACCAACAAATGTTTAAAAGTCTAATATATGTGCTGTTGTTTTGTCTTAGCCACATGCACATGCCTCCAAAGACCCTTGATAATTCAGCGAAATATTTGGTAATGCTGCGTTGGCAGTTGTGGACGAGGAAAACTCAACACGTTCGTCAATAACACTGACTCTAAAAGGAAAAATACATAATAGGTGACGTTTTGGGCATGACCCTTCTTCATAGTTCACTGAGAGTCAGCTGTGCAGATAATACTTTCTTATTACATATTGTGAACTTTCAAAATGCTTTCCTTATCTTGTCATGAAATTCTAAAATCCTCTGCATGCACCTACGAAGAAATGCTCATTTAAATTAAAGATTTAGTTACTGATGTTGATATTACAGAATAAACTGCACCGTGTACGTACTGCATACAGATAATGGCAGGTTCTAGAGACAAAGTAAGAAATCTATAACAGATCTCCTTGAAGAAAACGAACACAAGGAAAGGCTTGGTATTTTTAAGCCCTTCTACTTAAATAGACACAATGTTTCTCTTCCTCCTCTGAATACCTCCGTCATTACAACAAGGACACTCACAACACGCCCACAAAAGCCCGGTCTGTAATGAATGGAAGGTTAGTCTAAGAGGGCACACAACTTGATTTTATAGCCCTGGCCAGTGTAATGCTTTACTTCACTGAAAGTCATCCTTGTGTGTTCAAACCGCAACTGAATCGAAGTCATTCATTCACCAGTGACGGAAGCGCCAAGCTTGTGCTTGGCGCTAATGCGGACTTTGTTAACTCTTTCACTTTGTTTGAACAGCATTACGTTTTTAAATTCGTGCCAGTCATAGTTATTTACGGTATATCTCGGAAACCACGCAGGAGAATCAGTTTAAGTTAATGCAAGCCAGCTAACCTGATTTCACACGCAAGATAAAGTCCGTTTGTGTTGAGTTTATGAAGCTAGAGTAATACTCTATAAGCAAATAGGTCAGCCCTGTCGTGGGGGGCTGGAGGGGGCTGACCCCCTCACCCCCCCCCTCCTCGCCATTCTAAAGGTTCATCCACTCATCTAAATTGTCATGGTCAAGTAAACAAAAATGCTGGTAGAATATTTAACACCAGTTGTGTTTTTTGTTCAAAGTTCACCAAAATCTGATTAAAAATGTGCAAGCTTCATTTGATTCATTTGATATCCCAACTGTCTGCAAGAGTCGGCTGAATAAAATTACCAATGCAGAATGACAGCATAAGCAGAATGTATCCTTATTATGTTTAGCGTTAAACATTTGTTTACGGTTTGTTTGATATGGATAGAATCGTTTGCAATCCCCATAACCTTGAAACAAGGTTATGCTTCGGGGCTGAAACACTGTCAGCCTGATGGTAAAATTATCCACTTAATATGCAACAATAACCAGATGGTATAGGAACCTTACATGACACGAGGTAGTAAACCTGATAAAATCTTTCACGGCTAATTTATCTGAAATAGCATTTACTATTTACTCTATTCTGAAACAAACCTTCTCAACACTGGTAGCGAGATTATATTGTAAATAAATTTGCTAAACATAAGCCAGATAATTTGGGGGAAAAAACTCACAGTATAGTACTTGGCCTCCAATACATTTTTTAAAAAGTTTGGTCTCTTACAAAATTGCACATCAGCGATTGAGTGGGGCAGTGGCCGATAATCTATGAACCCAGAAAACGGAGTTCAATGTCCAGCCATGGCTAACATCAGTGGTGAGTGAATCTGAATGAATCCCGGATGCACGCACCATTCAACTTGCACTGACCAGCGTAGCGAAATATGGTCATAGAATCCCCACCCCCCAACAAGACACTAATTTGCTCTTTAACACTTTCCAACCGAGGTGTAAAGCATGAATGCACCAGCTCCATCTGTCTATCAGGAGCAGAGGGTTCACAATAATGCTAATAAATGATCCAATATACACAAAACCTTCATATGAAGTTGCATTGCTATTAGGGGAACATCCTGAAGAAAACCAGCCACATTAATTACAAACTTTCCCGCAACTTAAATCCAGAGCTTAACGGATAAGCCTCGTCGACCAAGGTAATTGTGTGACACCACCTCGTTGTGCGGAGTTAAACGCATAGTTATCGCAACGTAAATATTGTTGAGGACTAACATATTTTGGGAAGCGTTACAGAAGCCATGCATAGCGTTATTTTTCTTCCTTGTTTACTGTCCCTTCAGGAGATGGTGGCCGTCGGGAATGGCTGCACGGAGTCGCCTCGTGGGGATGGAGGCACGTGCGTGCGCATACGTCTGCATGTACGGGAGCAGGCCCCCTTCAATGCAAAGGTGGCGCTGGCCAAGACGGTGGCCAACAACTGCTGCTGCTCCCCCCATGAACTCAAATCCTTCTTCCTGAACCTGTTTCCCGTACTGCGCTGGCTGCCAAAGTACAAGGTACGCGAATGGATACTGGGCGACTTCATGTCGGGGCTCATCGTGGGCATCCTGCTGGTGCCCCAATGCATCGCGTACTCGCTGCTGGCTGGACAAGATCCCATCTATGGACTCTACACGTCCTTCTTCGCCTGCATCATCTACTTCCTCATGGGCACCTCCAAACACATATCCGTGGGCATCTTCGGGGTGCTGTGTCTCATGATTGGCCAGGTGTGTGGAATATTTATACTACAGTAACACAAATGTATATAAATGTACACCCCCTTTGTCCCATCCAGACCCTATACAGAGGCCGCTGGGTCCAACCAATTTTTTGCAGCAGTCTCCACTGTTGGCAATTATCAAATGCCATGTGTTACTGATGCTTCCATATCATTCTTCTCTGTTCTGGTGCCTGTTCCACCATATTTTTTTTGGCCCGTCTTCTGCCTTGATTTCCTTCTACGAGCGTTACTCTTGCTTTGCTGGATTCTTGTTTGGTGGCATTCTTCTGTAACCATAACATAGCAGCTTAAAATACATTTGCAGGATTTTGGTCTTCCTACGCCATACCTGTCATGGGGAGTAATTTGTCTGGACTTCACCATGCTGGTCAATGCGAGTTAGTGAAGGTCAGCCCTGGAACTGGTTCAGAGATATCACTCGTGAAATAAATCGGCAAAATGAAAAGAAAAATCTTCAGAAATCACGCAAAGCGAATAAAAAAGAGAGTAACATTTTAAATTCTGCACGTGCCCTATGCATGCGCCCAAGTGCAGTTTGTTTACCGTACATTATTAGTCGCCAATCGGTGAAGAGCTTTGTGAGTCTCCCTCACTTGGCCCAATCAGTGGCACTCTTCGCCAGTCTTCCCTCTCCCACCTGCTCAAGCTCCTCGTGTTCATAACATTGTATCTTGTGTTTGGCAGTAATAAAGTGATCATCATCTTCATCATCCAAACGACCATCTAGTGCGAGTGGCCTTATTCGGCGAGAAGTGCGGCGTAAATCCATCTCTTCGGAAACGAAAAGGCAGATCATTAAGAGGGTAGAGGCGGGAAAGATGAAAAGTGAAGTGGCGTGCCCGTTAGGATTTGCGGAGTTCACCTTCAATACCACGTTAAACCAAGCAGACAAAGTAAAGGCTTCTGTGCAGCAATCTAGTGACCTAACTGCCACTAAACTAACACGCACACGAAGCAGTGTTACTGAGAAAATGGAGAAAATATTAGGTGTTTGGTTGGACAGTACGACACAGCGTAACATTCCACTCGGCCAGGTGCTGATAATACAGAAGACACTGAGCCTAGTTGATGTTTTCCCGTTTGCTCCCTGGAAATGCATCCCCCCTATACCTCTTCTGTTATAGCTACCTCTGGTAATGAAGTTTCCAACAGCGAAGTGAAAACATGGAACAGATCTATTTCGTTAACCGAATATTACTGTAGTGTTTTCATTCCATGGGCTTGATGTGATGCGGATCAAATGTTTGTACGTTTTTGCAGTCTCCCCAGAATGCAATGAGGTTTCTCATGTTGAGTTGTTCGCATTGAATCCCGTTTCAGGTGGTGGACCGAGAGCTGCAGGTGGCTGGTTTTGCCGAAGAGGGCATTAAAGGGCACGATCACGTCGTCAACAACAGCATGAATTTCTCCATCAGCGATGAAGAAAATGGCTTCACAGTGATGATCGGGGGGCTCCCCTGTGGCCGGAGCTGCTTTGCGATTGCTGTTGGCACCACGGTCACGTTCATGGCCGGAGTTTACCAGGTTCATAGCCATTGTTACCAGTATCACTTTTGCACTTAGAAAGTTCATCCCAATGATGCAGTTATTACAAACGGTCATTCCTATGAAACTCGACCTAGTAATGGTTTATGCAACTGTTAAATGAGCATTGGTATAGAATATGAGAGATAAAGGGTTGATACATTACTTCAAGAAAATGTTTTACTTCATTCAAGTTCCTATCTTTGTTACTGTATGATATCAATAGCATACCATCAGGAGTAAATATGCCTGAAAAATAAATAATACAGTGAATATTATTCTCAAAATGTACCGAATGCCAATTTTATATTTGATATAAAATGTGGGAGTAAAAAGTTGATCCAACAGGTTTCCAAAATTTGTCAACCCCCAATTTTTTTTCATGTTGTGGGCATATATGCCTACACATCCTACATACAATAGAGTGAGTAGTATCTACACACATTAGGTGGTGGGGGGGGAGGGCATCAGTTGGGGTTACGAGCGAGGAGCGTAGTGCCGAGAAGCCCTTCGCAGGAGCTAGAATAAGGCGGCAGCAGGCCGCTCACTATACATACATTAAAATGTGCTTGTAGTGTTGTGAGAAGCGATTCTTTACAATGAATTTAAATTATATGTAAACTATATGCAAATGTCACATTCAGGCACGTGGATCCAACACATTGTATGAGCCAGTAAAATGAGACAAAAAAACATTTGAACCTCGAGTCTAAATCTCAACTCTAAATCGTGACAATTCGCCAAATATCCTGAGGAGTGAATCATTACATAGTCTTAGTTCTTTCGGTAAAGTCACGTAGGTAAAAAATGAAATAAAAATTAATACAAATAAAACTATAAAAAATAAAAAATCACGACGTTTCGGAGGCAACACAAGTCTCCGTCATCAGGTGGGACCGTCACAGCCAGATTTGCTGAGACTTGTGTTGCCTCCGAAACGTCGTGATTTTTTATTGTTTTATTTTTATTAATTTTAATTTCATTTTTTACCTACATGACTTTACCGAAAGAACTAAGAGTATGAATCCTTGCAGTCACGAAAGCTTCAAATCTAGAATGAATCATTACATATCTCGTATGAGCTAGGTTATGGAGTGCAAAACAAACCCTTGCACTGGTCTCTTTCTCTCCACCCATGTCGCCCTGCTCAGGTCGTCATGGGAATTTTCCAGATGGGCTTCGTCTCCATTTACCTGTCGGAGCCCATGCTGAGTGGGTTCGTCACCGGCTCGTCCTTAACTGTCCTCACGTCGCAAATGAAGTACCTGCTGGGAATCCACATCCCGCGCACCAGCGGCGCCGGCTCCCTTCTCAAGACCTGGTACCACATCTTCAGCCAGCTCGGCAACACCAACGTGTGCGACGTGGTCACCAGCATCATCTGCATCCTGGTGCTCGTGCCCGCCAAGGAACTCAATGAACACTTCAAGGCACGCCTGAAGGCCCCCTTCCCCATCGAGCTGGTGGTGGTGGTGGCAGCCACGCTGGCGTCGCACTTTGGCGGCTTCAAGGAAAAGTAAGTCGGCGTTTGTTGTGTCGCGTTGCGCGCGATGTTCCAACATGGCCTCCTCTTCCTCTTTCGTTGCTGAAACGGAAGTCTTTAAAGTTGTTTACTTAGAGATGTGGCAACTTGTCATTAGATAAATAATACATGCTGACATAATGACCAAATCATGCGAGAAAGCACCCAATCCTGTTAGATTTTGGAAGCTAAGCTAGCTTGAGCCTGCATGATGCTTGGATGGGTGACCACCACGCAGGTATTGTCGGCTACTGTTATGTTGTCAACTATTTACTATATTTTATTTTACCATGTAAGGCCCACTGAGCTATATTGCTCCTTTTCAGCAGCGACTGGCCACAAATGATAGCTCAATTAAGTGGCTTATCACATGGAAATTTATAGCAGCCAAATACTCGAAACGCATGTTTCTAAATGTGGAGGGGAAAACCGGAGGACCCGGAGAAAAATCCAAACAACTATGGGGAGAACGTGCAAACTCCAAATATACAGGAGTCAGGGTCAGGATCGAACCCACGACCAGTATACCAAGCCACTCAAAAGGGGGTCAGTTCAACAAAATCCACTAATACTGTACTATGCCACACCGTTTATACTCCACACTTTGGCCAACCAGCACTGGCCAATGTGGTGAAATATGGTCAAGTAACCCCCAATAACCCGCACTTGTAAAAATCAAACATTAATTACTCGTGGATTTGCTGTGCTGCAGTTACAGTTCGAGCATCGCGGGCCACATCCCCACCGGGTTCCTGCCTCCTCGTGCACCCGAGTGGTCACTGATCCCGCGCATCGCCGCCGACGCCGTCCCCATCGCCATCATCGGCTTCGCCATCACCGTCTCGCTGTCCGAGATGTTCGCCAAGAAACACGGCTACGCCGTCCGTGCCAACCAGGTCCGCCTCGGCACTCTTGCAGAAGCGAAGGATATGGGGACTAATGCAGATTTTTTAAAAGATATTTTAACAAATGCCTGTTTAAAGTTGAGTGATAATATTGCTTTAAAGCTTTCGTGACTGGAGGGATTCATCTTCTTGGTTCTTTCGGTAAAGTCACGTAGAAGGGAAATAATAAAATAATACAAATAAAAGATAATAAAATACAAAATATTTCCCTTCTACGTGACTTTACCGAAAGAACCAAGAAGATAATATTGCTTTTGAAATACCTCTTAAATATTAAACAACATTTTTCTTTCTCTACGCAAGTTTGTTATGTATTCCAACAATAGAGGTAAAATTCAAATGTATTATTACCTTTCAGGAAACAATAGAGCAAAATAAGTTTTTGTAAAACTTAGCTGTTTGAGATTTGACAACAATATCTGAGCTACACATCCAAGAGGACATCTGCTGCAGTGATTGAGCAATGAAATCAGCTCCTGTGCAGGAGTGAGATCAACAGCATCAACACTGGACTGAGAGGAAAGATGAAGGCGTGGGGAGGCCTTCAACCACAAGTGGATAGACAATGTCTGATGATGTCAAACTCATGACTATCTTCTCCTCAGCTCCCCTTTGCCCCAGGATCAAACCCGGCTTATGAACCTGTTTGCTATGCCTGTGTTTCAGGAGATGATCGCAATCGGATTCTGCAACATCGTGCCTGCCTTCTTCTACAGCTTCACCACGAGTGCCGCCCTGGCCAAGACCCTGGTCAAGGAGGCCACGGGTTGCCAGACACAGATGTCTGCCGTCGTCACGGCCGGTGTCCTCCTCCTCGTGCTTCTCCTCATCGCCCCGCTCTTCTACTCGTTGCAGAAGTGCGTGCTCGGTGTCATCACCATCGTCAACCTCCGCGGGGCGTTCCGTAAGTTCCTGGATATACCGCGGATGTGGCGGGAGAGCAAGGTGGACACGTCCATTTGGTTCGTGACGATGATCGCGTCGGCGCTGATCAGCACGGAGATCGGGCTGCTGGTGGGCGTCTGCGTGTCGCTGCTCGTGTTCATCGTGCGCACGCAGAGGCCGCGAGCGGCGCTGTACGGGTGCGTGCACGACACCAACAATTTTTACGCCGACCTAGAGGCGTACAGCAATGTGGCGGAGGTTCCCGGCGTGCGCGTGTTTCACTTTGACGCGCCGCTTTATTACGCCAATAAGGAATATTTCAAGTCGCAGCTCTGTCTGAAGACCCAAGTCAATCCCGCACTGGTGTTGACAGCGCAGAAAAAACGACAGGAAAAGCTGCAAAAGCGGAAGAAGCTTTCGGGCAGCGACAACGGAGAGATCGTGAACAAGCAGGCAATGTTAGAGTTAAATAATCTTCTGCCGACATTTGACTTTCACACAATAGTCATTGATTGCTCAGCAATGCAGTTCATGGACTCGGTGGGTGTAGGAGCAGTTAAGTCCATTATGAAGGACTATCAGAGTATTGGCATCAGGGTTATCCTGGCATGCTGCAACCCATCGGTTATGGACTCCCTCCATCGGGGAAAGTGCATTTCCACCATCGAAGACAACCTGACCTTCTGCTTAATCCACGATGCGGTGTTGTACGCAGAGGCTGAAGAGAGGAAAAGTCACCACGACAACAACGTAGCGATCGATGGGTTGGAAGTCAATCGGGAGGTGGGGGCCTCTGAAGTTTAGGAGGCAATCAAATGAGACGTTTTTAAATGATTGCTGACTGGCACATGCACAGCCTTATATGATTGGCTACATTTACTGCATTTTTGAGTTCTTCAAAACATGCGTTAACAATACCATACGAGGTATATGAATGCAATGTACAGTAAATGTAGAGTGCCATAGATGATGCCAGTGTATGACTAACTTCACAAACACAGAAACTACAAACTTAGCATTTGATTGAAATGAAAACCAATCAACTGCACTAATATTCTGATCAAACACAAGCACTTGGAAGTGAAATCTATTTTTGAAAAGAAAAAAATGTTGCACAGCTTAATGTACTGTAAATACTCGGCTTTATAAGAGTACTGTCTTCTTGAGATGGGAGGAAAGATGCTTTGCTCATGAAAAACCAAAGCACTTCTATCCATGAGCATTTGACTATATATAAGTCAAGGTTAGGCTTTGTCTTAAGTGAATGCAACTGTTTGTAGCAAATATGGTAACAAATTAAAATTTTAGTCTCCATTTTTATATATATATACACACAGAAATATATTTTTAAAAGAGTACAAAAAAAATACTTTGAAGCACAGTAGTTGCGTATATTCTAGCTCGGAGCTGCTAGTTTTGAGTCGCCTTAACAGTCGTGAGTGTACAAGTACAGTCGATGGTTTGCTTGACCGGGTTAAATCTAACATTACCACGTGAAGGAAACACCAACAAGTCTAAACCTTCCACATAGACATATCAGGTACTAATTACCTTACGGTTTATGCAAATAGCATGAAATAATGAAGCAAATATTACTTTGCTGCAGTTGTTGATGCAGTGCATATCTGTCTTGGGCCCAATAAACCCTTGGGAGATTTTTTTTTAAATACCAAGCTGTCTAAAGTTTGTCATACACATACAGTAGTTACTTGCTGCGTTAAACTACTGCTTTTATTGAGACTGTCTAAAAAAAACATTAAAGAGTGGATTGTTAGTCCTTCACATACTGTGCCTTAAACCGCTGCTAGAAATGAAACACTCGCGTGCCACAACATTAACCGTGTTTCCAGGCCAAGATCTCATTGTCATATCTGGTTATGGTCCATGAGCAGATATCGTGATACAGCAAGATACCTCTTGAGCAGTTCACCCTAAACATGGACCAGTTGAAGTCTGAGAGCAACTGAGGTGATCGTCTATTTGCCCATCATAAATCACGGTGTTACCCATCATAAATCACGGTGTTACCTGATAGAATGGACGGGGGATTTTTTCTTTTTTACATTCAACTCGGGTCACGCGAGGATCGTGTCCTCACGGCTATTTGAAAGGTGACCGATCAGTACGGCTAAGAAGCTTGCAATAACAGATACATATTGTCTGCAGGTTGTTGCGAAGTGGTAGGGCCTCATCTGTCCAAGGGCTGTATGCAATGAAGTCCTGGGCCGTATGTTCCCCACCCCTGTGGTGTATATACGTACACCAAGCCTTACATGTGCGAAGCGACATTACGTGTAATATTTCTGTTATTTTATTTCATTGTTTTCTATTTAAGCTAATATATATATGCAGAACTGTACTGTAATGCTGTGCAGTGGCTGGGTGGTCTATGTGTTTGAGTGCGTTATGGGAAAAGTATTCATGAGATTTTTATGTTTTATAGTGGATATATCTCAAAAAGGAGATATAGCTCAAAAGGATATATCTCAAAAAGGAGATATGTTGGTGTCACGGCCAAATAAATCGTCCGCAATGAAAATTAGGCATGTGAATAAACATGCTAGAGGGCCTCATTTTTAATCAAATGTATGCACTTTTAAGCTTGAGATTTCGCACGTGATGATGTAATGTTTTTAATGAATAAAAACGTAGAACAGTACCATTGCACATAATGCACGTATTTTACATGTGAAGCCCATTTGTCAATACACTGCTGGATGAGGACCTCCCCATGCCATGTCAGTCATGAGAGAGATTTGACCAGACTTTGCAACGTTGGTCAGTGTGGGTTTCTGATGGCAGGGAGCATAGACAAACAGTACAACAAGGGATTGTGTGAAAATTACTCTGTGCCGACCACAACATAGCCCCGCAAGCCTGTGAACATCTGTTTTATGTACGGTGGTTGCCCATTCAAGAATTATTCAGGCTCAAATCCTGCTTAGATTTGCAGATCCAATGATAGCAGGCACATTCTGGGGGGTGTGGTCATAGGAAGTTTGCACAATATATATGCAGTAGAGAAATAATAAAATAATAAAAATTAAACATAATAAAATAATTCTCACGACGTTTCGGCCACAATGCAAGCAGCCGTCCTCAGGTGAAGACCAGGTCTGTCGGGGAGACAGACGCTGTCAGACAGACACTGTCTCCCCGACAGACCTGGTCTTCACCTGAGGACGGCTGCTTGCGTTGTGGCCGAAACGTCGTGAGAATTATTTTATTATGTTTTATTTGTATTATTTTATTATTTCCCCTTCTACGTGACTTTACCGAAAGAACCAAGAAGATGAATCCCTCCAGTCACGAAAGCTTTAAATAGAAATATATGCAGTAGTTTACGCGAGGGGGAATTTTTTATAATGTATTGATCTTTAATGATTATAAATTTAAAATTGTATGTATGACAAAACCAGCAGAGATGGCAATGAAGGCGTGTTTTATTAATTAATATACTAAAAGCATACCATGTCAGGTACTATCCCCTTATACTGTGCCTTTTATTGATGCTACTGTGACGTAATGGTGAGCAGATTGGACTTGCAAGCTCGAGTTCGCCTGGTTGAATATCTTGGCGTGGCAGCTAAAACAATGGGCACCTCTGTCCACCCAGCAGTATAAATGGGTACACCACAGTTCGTCAATAGGCAGATAGTATGTGGTGGGGTAAAGTGTGGGAATCCCACCTCTTGCAAGACGTTTGGCCATCATGGCAGAGTAAACCCAAATGCCTTCCAGAGGGCTCCCTCTCATGAAAGCCCTTCTGCCACCAGTGGGGTGAGCAAGACATTGCAGAGCTGCACCTTTACCTTTTTTAGCCCCTTTTACTTAGCAGGATGATACACTTTTGCAATACACTTGCATTATATACATTATATACTGTAAAGTGGACAATATGTTGAATGTTTATGTGTGCTTTCACTCAGTTTTCTGGGTTTAATGTATCTTGCAGTGTCTCTGTGGAATTATCAGGTGAAAGTATATGCCTCAATACCCTGCCAAATTAGGGTAATTACTAACTTGATTTAATGGTGATTATGGATGGCGTTGGTTTGTGTAAACTGGGAAGTTTCATTCTATTATTCACCTACGTTGAAAATGGTAAAATTAACTTATACATTTTGCGTATGTTAAATTATTCAGCATAGGTAGAAATAAATGAAGACATGTTTCAGGGTTGGTAACAATTGTGCCCTCTCTATATTCTGTGAAACATATATGTTCCGATTAAAAATATATATATATATATCTGCCTGTATTTGCAGTGTCCAATTTCCATGCAGTATTTTTGCACTCGTATAATATTAATAATTTAAATTACTGTTAACTAATATGTTTCATGTAATGTCCTTTATTTTTAAGTTCTCACAGCATTAAGCAAAACATTATATTCTGCACACATGAAAATAAACACTATACTGTAAAATCTGAACCCGCATATGACAATTATTCGAACACGAAACTTTCATTCACATTCTGTAGTTCCGTCAACTACAAAATGCAATTACATCAAACACAAAGCAAAAATAAATACTATCAATCGGCTGTTTTAGCTCTAATGTGTTTTCGGATTATACCACGTGTTGTTAGGCATATAGCCATAGGTTTCATCCCATATTCTGTGATAACCTTTAGAAACTGAATATTGAATTCCTGAAAAAGCACGCAGAAAATAACAACATCAAGTTCCTGCATATGCGGAACTGAAACTGGATATTGGTATTCTTTGGTTATTTCGGTAAAGTCAAGTTGATGGATATTGGTGGTAATTGCTGGGTACTTTTTCAGTAACTGGATATCCAGTTTATGACGAAGATCCCCTATAAGGGATTAAACGTATGGCTAAAATGCCAAACAACACGAGGTACAACCCGAAAACACATCAGAGAGCTCTGCAGGCACAACCGTGAACCCCTGCTCGGCCATCGGGTGTTCTGTATTCATGAATAACAACAGCAGTGTTGCAGAAAAACAAGCTCCGTCATTTAAATGAATGGCATGTCAAGGGCAAATGTGTTTGTGTGCAGGACAAACACGAACTATGCATAAGCAAAACAAGGTGCTGAGTGACGGGTACAGACCAGTTGGTCACTTGTGCGTCTCACCGCGCAGTAACGAGCTCCAACAGCCAGTGGATGCGCACCTGCCGGATCCCGCCGTGCGGCACAGCGCCCACGTAAGCCATGTTGAGCCGCTCATCGGGACTCAGCATAAACTTGTCGGCCTGATTGTGGGGCAAAGGGGGGCTGAAAAGGAGAAGACAACCCCGAATTTAACATGTTCAACATCTTGATTTAAAGCTTTCGTGACTGCAGGGATTCATATTCTTGGTTCTTTCGGTAAAGTCACGTAGAAGGGAAATAATAAAATATTACAAATATAAAACAATAAAAAATTCTCACGACGTTTTTACTGCAACACAAGCAATCATCATCATCACCTGATGCAAATTCTCACGACGTTTCGACTGCAACACAAGCAATCATCATCATTACCTGATCATCATCACCTGATGATGATTGCTTGTGTTGCAGTCGAAACGTCGTGAGAATTTTTAATTGTTTTATATTAGTATTATTTTATTATTTCCCTTCTACGTGACTTTACCGAAAGAACCAAGAATATGTTCAACATCGGTGAAGATCAATCCACTGCTGCCAAGTCGTCGCCATCTCTTAAGTCGTGTATTGTGACAATCCCCCTATCACCTGAACACCAGCTGCGACTGTTCCAGGGTGCACTTCTACTGGGGGGACGATATGTGAATATGTACTTCACGCTGGCCAGTATGTATTGGTGAAGATACCCATGCCTTCTTTCTACACAGTTGCCACGACGAAGCGTGTTATCCAATGATTTAGCATCCCAATTATTGTTGGAAGGTTCAACGATGATTTAATGTAACAATAATTTACAATCGTTTATCAATTCACTGCTGGATGAAGGTTTACCAATGCTGTGTCAGTCCTGGGGGCTTGTTTGACCATCCTTCTTCACCAGACTGGACAGTGCGGGTCGTTGAAAAGGTGATGCATGGGGAGTGAGATTCGATTCTGATAGCAGTCGCCACTAATGTTAGCCGTGGAGGAAATCCAACTGACGAGACAGTTTAAGTGTAGTTTGACTAACACTGCACCACCACTGGTATTCATTTTCATTTGTTCAACTTGCAAGACTTTGAAACTAGTTTTTTTCGGGGTCTTTTTATAGCATCATCAATCATGATCTTGACGAAGGCCTTCCCAAGCCTTTTCCATTTCTCATGACGCTGCGATGTAATCCATATTCCACTTAACACCTGCACACCAGCTAAATCCATCACTTTATCTCAACAGTGTACGTCATCTGAGTTCTAATATCACTTGTTGTACATGTTAACGGTGATCGGGAATATAACTCAGGAGCCAGGTTCACAGTGTATTGAGTTGTTTTTAAAATAAGCTTTTGTTTTTGGGCACAAGCAGCGATGGAAAACGCATTAATGCCTTGACAGTCAACATTATACTCATCAAGTCACATGGTTGAGAGCACTGCAACAAACTTGGCAGCTATAGTCCATTTAACTTGAGTAAACAACAGGGTACTCTGGATGGTGACTGCCCTTTGTTTCCATGTGGTGATGAGATTTTCACAAAACCAACCACGTACAGTGCAATGGATAAATGATAAATCTTACAAAAAGACATAATTTTTCAATAATAATAAATCTCACCACCTTTCCTCTGCAATATTTTTTTTCGAGAATGCAGTTCCAAAAATTGGAATATATTCTCAATCCCAAGTGCATTGTCACATTGGAGACATTGCCGCAGGCGGTCACTGTGGCCGCATGGCTCTCCTACGCACAAAGGGATCAACACAATACTGTACTGTAATTGTATGAACTTGAGCATGTAAGCAGGCAAGCCACGTGCAAACCATTACGTTTAGGACTCTTGGTCATAATGCATTGTCAGTGTGGGCAGGAAATGAGTTTGCAAGAATCTGAACAACGAAAACACGCTTCTGAGCACTGCAGAGTGTGCGCAGTGCGCCCTCTACCGCATCTACTTACGAAATGTAACCTGCAATCACGGAATTGCATTCATGTATAATTCCCAGGTCTATCATGTAACACGAAATAGCGACCGATTCTCCCTTGGTTAAACAAAAACCATCAACCCCTAGATTACAAGGCTGTAGTTAAAAATGATTTATCTTATACTTATGCACTGTTATTTTAAACTCTTAGATACTTACACATGACAATATCCTAATATCTAAAATGGAACACGTTTACAGTACTATTATCCTACACCTTTTAAAGAGAAATAGGATGAATATTGCAATAGTAAAATAAAATGAAATACATTAATTGGAAACCAAAAATGTACATCCCTTTGTTAATCCACTCGTGGATGATTGCCTCCTCCCCATGCCTTGTAGGTCAAAATGAAATTATTTTACACGTTGTATACACTACGATCAAACTTATGGAGCCTCTGTCTCAAAGGCTTCCCAAAATCCCAATTTCCACACTCAATATTAACCAAAATGCCATTGCAAGACTTCTCACCCATACTGTCAACGAGACCACATCAGCCTCCACTGGTTTCAAATCCAATCCCGGATGAACGTCAACATCCCAGTCACCATCGATGAAGAGTTTCCATTGACTCGCCTCTCCTTGTCGTATTCGATATTTACGAGAGCGCCTTTGCGTAAGGGGTGTAATATATTCGAAGGGTCGCTATAATACAATCATTATACTTTTAGGAACCCACTGGTTCTACCAGCCCACAAGGGATTATTGTGTCAGTCCGTCGTGCAGGGAGGGGCTGAGTGGGGAGGGGCTGGTCACCCCGTGGTGCCCTTATAAAACTCAACGTTTAACCTACTCACGCCGGCTTGTGCCCGCCCTCACAGTCGGGCATATTTGCGGAATACACCACGCCGCCGTTGAGCCTGGCCATTGACAGAGCAACCCAACGTTCCTATCAGCTCCCTCCGCAGGAATGTGTTTTGGTTCCCCGTGGTGTGCAAGGGAATGAGGAATTGTGACTGCGATCGAGGAGGCCTACTTCGGTTTACGAAAGGGTAGGGGAAGGTCGGGATGAAGTGTCGGGGCGAGGAAGAGACTGGGCAATGTAGAAAAGGAACGCCGGTTTTTTTCTCTCGTCTGCATATGACTGTCAAAATAAAACGTGACAACTCTTTATGCACAGCGTCTTGAGATACGGTCGCAATTTGGACGCGATATCTAACCACATTGTGTTGTAATTGCAGTACAATTCAGGATATTTTATGCGACCCCTGTATTTCATCAGCACGCGTCAACATAACCATGAAGACAATCGAGACAACAACGTCTGACACTTTCTAACGTGTAACCAACTCCCAAAGGTCACGAGAAAACAGCTGGAGCAATCTCGGGTAGGACAATGTCCGCGTTCTCAGCAGAGGGCAGTATAGCAACATAGTTACGGGTACTTTGGTTTAAAGCGTCGGCTTTCGCGACCAATATCGTCCTTGATATGTTTTTTTTTGGGTTAGATCGGTACTTTGTCAGTTTCAGTTTCATTTATTTGGTATAGCCATGTGAGCCATTCGGCTCTTGAATCGGGTGCAACCGCAACCAACAAAAAACAAAAACATGAACAAGAAAACATCTTAAAGTGACTAAGCCCAAACAGAAAAATCCAGGAAAAATCTGCAAAGTCTTCCAGAAAAAAAGCACCGTACACCAACGCTGTGCAAAAATCCCAGTGGGATGCAAGTCAAACAACAACAACAACCACAAGACAACTTAGATTAAAGACATCATTTTAACTCCGTCATACAACAAACATGGCCAAACCAAAAAACTTTTCGAAATCACCAAAATAAAGCCATAAGCAATGTAACAGTGATCATAGGAACTGTGACCAAATTTTCACGGTTGGCTCAGTCTACGGCTCCTCTCCGCCTTTACCAAAGCACACTCAACCCTGACGAGCGCGGTGAAGTTTTAGTATAGCACGGGTCAAGTAACTCCCACGGCGTGCGAGGGGAGGAAGCCCTTCTTCTAACAGTGGGATGTCAAACGGGGCTCTACATTTACGCCGTACATTCAATACAATAGGCGTAACGTGTGTGTGTGTGGGACTGTCAGACACGTGCACAGTGCACTAATTGCGAATACTGCAGGGGGTTCGACATCGTGTGAAGAGAGACAACTTTTTGTTAGCAAATGTAGAGGCGGAATTCACGAACTGTCTTGCAGCAGTGGCAGCGATAAGTGCTTTTCATTTACAGTTACCCCACTCAAATAAGGGGGCATTTGAAGAAGCGACGCTTTTAGTTAAACGTTTCTGCATACATCATGGGACCTCCTTTGCCAGTACCAAAATATGATAATAGGCTTTCCCCTTTTTTTCTGGCAACAAAACAGGTGTTAACATGTTAAAACACCAAACTGAAACCTTTTACAAGGAATCATGTCTGCATTAACAACAATATTTGTGGTCAGAATGAAAACAAAAAACGCCTTTTGGCGTCCTCTGGTCTAACACCGTTTGAGACGAGGCTTCAAAGAAAGCTGTCTGGTGTGGACTAGTTTCAAAGACAATGCCTATATTATCAGAGTATAATCTTGATTTGAAGCTTTCGTGACTGCAGGAATCCATACTCTTTGGATCTTTTGGTAAAGTCACGTAGGTATAAAACATTTATTTGATAATTCTCTTTGGTTCTTTAGGTAAAGTCAATATTTTATACCTACGTGACTTTACCGAATTACCCAAAGAGAATTATCAGACAATCACAGTGTGTTTTTTGTTTGCATTCTGACCACAAATATTGTGGTTAATGTCGACATGATTCCTTGTAAAAGGTTTCAGTTTGGTGTTTAAACATCTTAACACGTGTTTTGTTGCCAGAAAAAAGGGGAAAACCTATTCTCAGGTCTCTGCATACACTTGCACGGTGTCCCACAAATCTCAATACACTTCAACGCTTTCCTCTGTAACGCATGGGAGTCACCGATTTCACAAAACACGTAAATATCATCCCCTGTTGAGAAATAATGAAGAGCACCTTCACCATCAGTGCGGTAAAGTGTTTATAAATCGATCACCCTGGGAAAGAAAGGCTCAACACAATTCCTTGCACGCCTGCCACCGCTGTCGGAATCGCCTCCACGAGATGGCAGCTCCAAACATCTCCCAGCGGGTATTTGGCCTACTCTTCCACGCTGGTCAGACATCTCGGAAGAGGTGGGTGTACCCACACTTTAACCCGACCACACTCGACCCGCCGATGGCCGATCGACTAAACTTGTGGTGTATATTCTAGATTTGAAGCTTTCGTGACTGCAAGGATTCACACTCTTAGGTTTTTTCAGGAAAGTCACGTAGGTAAAACATTTTAAATTAATAAAAGTAAAATAAAACAAATTAAAAAATTCACGACGTTTCGGAAGCAACACAAGCCTCCGTCTTCAGGTGGAACAGTCACAGCCACGACAGCTGTATCAAGTAACTTTACTTGATACAGCTGTCGTGGCTGTCGTGGCTGTGACGGTTCCACCTGAAGACGGAGGCTTGTGTTGCTTCCGAAACGTCGTGAATTTTTTAATTTGTTTTATTTTACTTTTATTAATTTAAAATGTTTTACCTACGTGACTTTCCTGAAAAAACCTAAGAGTTTGTGGTGTATATACCCATTTATGATGCTGCATGGGGGCACGTGAATGGCGAGGCATTCGTGAGACTTTCGAAGAAACATCGATTTCAATTGCCGCACCGGGAAATCGAACCACTCCACCCCCACCCCCTACCAAAACATTTGCAAATTTGTGCGGTTGTTGCAACATCGTTTCGAGTGACGAAGACAACGATGATTTTAGATTTGAAGCTTTCGTGACTGCAAGGGTCCATACTCTTTGGGGGTTTTTTTTACCGAAAAAGCCAAAAAGTAAAGACAACGATGGTAGCGGATGGATGGTGGAGGCGGTGTGTGTGGTTTGTGGTGGCGTTGTGGGTGAAACCACCAACCAGAATCCCGTGCTCGTCCAGAAGTGATGGAGGTGACCCGTGGTATTGGAGACGTCCACGGTCACGGACCGAGGTTGGCACGCGGTCGCGGCCGAGACGAGGCAGAGGGCGACCCACGCGAGTTGGCACCCACGGGCGTTCATCACGATCCCGATTGTGGCTCGTCACGTCGACTGGGGAAACTCGTGGCCGTCAGCTGTGCGTTTTTAAATCACGGTTGCAGTGCAGATGTCCAGAGGTATCCCACCCCCTCCTCCTCCTCCTCCTTCAAACGCCAAGCGGCCAGCAACACGCAGCACTATCCATATACATGTCCGATGTGGGTTTTTTTAAACAATAAAAACGGCAGTGTGTGCGTGAAACGGTCTGAAAGGCGCCTTACGAATGACGTGGAGTCTGTGTTACTTACACTTTATATATATGTCTAAATATACTTGACCGTAGTATTTGCCAGCTTAAAGGCAAATGTCGTCCAGGGGCGAAAGAATCCCATGAAATGACTGCATCACCACCGTGGTGCCACATTTATACCGGCATGGCTACATTCCATCCCTGGCAATCTCTAGACTTCAAGGCTTTCGAACTTGATATCCTACGGAGACAAGCGGCGAGTTTTATCCCCCCCCCCAAAAAAAAATGTTTGTTTTGATTTTAACCGTGCAATCACTGAACGCCGATCTTTAAAAAGCGCCCGCGGCGACACTGAGCGGACGTAAAAAAAAAAACACCGCGAGATGAAACAACAAACCCCTATAGGCTGCACCAGGGCACGTTAGGGTACGATAGTGGTTGATGGTGGTGGTGGTGGTGTTGGTGCGGTGTTGTGGCCAGGCCGGGATATTCACGAAGTCAACTCTCCTCTCTTTTGAAGCTACCCCTTGAACCCCGACTTGAACCGGACAGGATCTGGCTAAGGCTACTCCTGTATCCGGCCGTGGTGGTGGGAGGAGAGATGCGTAAAATTAGTGTGACTAACATGGAACATTGCGCTTAAGACTCGGTAAATTTGGGGGTGGCGCTTTTTGTGGTCACAAAAAACTGAGCAAGGGAACGAAAAATGAAAAGCTGCTGCCGGTGATGACTCGGATGTGGGGTCGGGGAGATTGAGATCGTGTCACTTTAGATGTATTATTGCTCGTGGGTAGTTGTGGGTATGTGGTCAGGATTAGCTATAGGGTTCGTGTTAGGACAGTACTTATACTGGTAGGAAACACCTAGTTCCACCAGCCCACAGGAGATTATTGTGTCCGTTCGTCGTGCATCCAAAAATGGGAGGGGTGGGGAGAGGCTGGGTGGGGAGGGTGGGGAGGGGAGGGGAGGGTGGGGAGGGGCTGGGAGGGGAGGGTGGGGAGGGGCTGGGTGGGGCTGGGTGGGGAGGGTGGGGAGGGGCTGGGTGGGGAGGGTGGGGAGGGGCTGGGTGGGGAGGGTGGGGAGGGGCTGGGAGGGGAGGGTGGGGAGGGGCTGGGTGGGGCTGGGTGGGGAAGGGAGGGTGGGGAGGGGATGGGTGGGGAGGGTGGGGAGGGGCTGGGAGGGGAGGGTGGGGAGGGGCTGGGTGGGGAGGGGAGGGTGGGGAGGGGCTGGGTGGGGAGGATGGGGCTGGGTGGGGGGTGGGAGGGGTGGGGCTGGGTGGGGAAGGGGCTGGTCACCCCGTGGTGCCCTTATAAAACTCAACGTGTAACCTACTCACGCAGGCTTGTGCCCGCCCCCACAGTCGGGCATATTTGCGGAATACACCACGCTGCCGTTGACCCTGCAGGCCATTGACCGAGCAACCCAACGTTCCTACCAGCTCCCTCCGCAGGAATGTGTTAATAATCGTCGTTGGTTTAGGGGTAATGCAAGCGAAGTGGCTGGTTGACTATTTGGTAAAGTTAGTCGCTGGTTATCTAGTTGGGTTAGTGGGGGTTGGTTTGCTAATCTGCTCTGCCCCCACAAATGTTTGGCCCACCTTGCAATGTGCGCGAACTTGCGTCTAAAACTGCGTTCATTTTATTAAGAATGTCCTACTTTAGTTCCTGAGGCACGGCTATAATGAAGTATGTAAGTTCAGGGTATTAAGTGACTGGTGAGCGACTATTGAGCTATATCTCAATTTTATAAAATTACCTCTTAAGTCAGCCTTAGGTTAACGACTACTCCAAACCTTACACGAATGAACACGAAGTGTATCAGTTTCGTAGAGACAACCCATGCACATCCCACCATGTATTTGTAAATAAAACAACGATCCATAACAACAGTATACATTTCGTCCCGCCATAGTAACGTGGAATTTTCAATGAAATTCTGACAAACTAATAAGAAGCAACCCACCCCAAAACCAACATTGGACTAACTTAACTTGACTCGGGTAGTGCCAAGATTTAATTTCATGCAACTCCAACACATTGAGTGAGGATAGACTGTTAAATTAAAGGGGTGATGGTGGTGGGGGGGTGGTAGGGGGGTGGTGGGGGGGTGAGAGGGTGGTGGTGGTGGGGGGGGGTGGGGTGGTGGTGGTGGGGGGTGGTGGTGGTGAGAGGGTGGTGGTGGTGGTGGGGGGGGTGTTGGGGGGGTGGTGGTAGGGGGTGGTAGGGGGTGGTGATAGGATGGTGGTGGTGATGTGGTGGGGGGTGGTAGTGGTGGGGGTGGTGGGGGGGTCGTAGTGGGGGGAGGGGTCGTAGTGGGGGGGAGCGGTGGTGCAGCGGTTAGCGCCGCTGCTCTACAAACCCGGCGTCCCGAGTTCGATTCCCGCTCACGGCCACCAACACCGGTGACGATTATCTGAACCGGTCCTGGGCCTCCCCTAGGTCGACTCGGCCTCAAATGAGTACCTGGTGCGGTGTGTTAAACATCGCCACTGGGAGAGACAAAGTCGTGGTTGCTGGCCACCCCACCCCCTCGTGTTCCGTACCAGCCTTCATAGGTGCGACTCGCTAACAGCACTTGCCCCAACAGTTTGTTAAGACTACACGGGGGGGGATCCTTGTCTTTTTTTGGTGGGGGGGGGGGTGTGAAGGAACAGCGGCATGACGTCATCGCGCGTGACGTCATGTTGGCAGAATAAAGTTCCGCGTTCGAACTAATGACGTCACGACGTCGCGATCCAATTGGAGGGGGCGGTGCGCGGACTTTGAATATTTTAAAAAATTCGTTGAGCGTGGAAGGTTGGAGTCGTGTTGGGAGTTTGTTTTATGTTCTTATCATCATCAAAAACATCAGCAGCAGTAGCAGCAGTAGTGGCAGCAACTCCCGGACTTAACAATGAGCACCAACGACAGGTAAACTCACACATGAGACCACCATGGCCCCCAAATGTTATTTTATCTGTTCCCTGCCGCGCGCGCTGTGCTTAATTATATTTAGTTTTTTTTTAATTGCAGTTCTCAACCGACTGCTCAACTGTCGCGTTTCATGTAGACATTGTTTTTATTGAGGTTATCTACTTTGAGGGGGTGTATATTGATGGTGTTCAATTTGAAATGTGGAACAAGGTGAGGTGGCACGAAACTCCACGGAAGGGGCCTTAACGTCTCCAATTCAAGACGCTGAGACTTGGAAAAGCGTGAATCCCACATGCTTTGAAAGTCACGTTATTAATGTGTACAACTAAAATAAAGTAGATATCTAAGGACGTTGTAACCGCTGATAATTTAGTAAAAGTAACCACCATCACTCCCAGCGATTTTTAGTTCAATTAATGGCCAAGGACTGCATTGTTCTTACCATGTGGTGAAGTACGGTCAATCAGAACCAGAATGTTAATTACTACAGAATGTTTAAACTTTTAACCAAGCCCATGAACGACATGGCGTGGGAGAGGCTTTAGGTTCTCTTATGGGTACATTTACACATTTTTATGTCTGTAAATTGGGATTACCACCACTATCGTGAAATATGCCCTCAGTTGGTTTACTTTTCTGTTGGGCTTCATATATTAAAAAGGACATTGAATTGCTTTTTAGTTAACATTACGTGAAAAAATGCGAGCATCGTCTTGCCACAGTTTCCATTTAAGAAGCAGGATAAACAATTCGAACCGAATCTTGTTTTTATTTGAATAAGATGAGTTTACGTTTTCCATGACGGATTTGGTAATGTTAAACGACCGCTACTGGGATCGTGTAGCTCATTCAATTATTACTGTGCTGCCACCAAAGATATTGGTTTTAAATCCAGCAAAAATAAGTCGTAGTCTTCACATTGGTGCACAGACACATACATTAATTTCACGAGAAATGCACATCGAACCATGCATGTAAAAATAAATTGCAGTTTTATAATTTATGGAAATTACGTGAAATTATATGCCAATGCTACATTTAAGTTGATCCGTGAACAGAAACAATACAAACGAATATTTAACAATGATATAAAACACGTAATTCGTATTTCATTAAATTTTATTGCAACCCTCAATTATTACGATTTATCAGTTGGCTGTGGAGATACATTATGATACATGGTTTTATTTTGTGTGTGTGGCTGATGTGGAAGGGGTGGCTCAGTGGCTAGTGACTGGGCTGGGGCCACCAGAGTTTAATTCCCGGCTAACAACTGTGACATATCTGAACCAATTCCGGGCCTCCCCCAATCTAACACATCCCAAATTGAGTGATGCCGTGCGTAAACATCATCACCGAGGAGACAACGGCAGCTGGGTTTGGTGCTGGACACACCACCCCCTCGTCGGCCGTGCTGGCTTTTCTAGGCACTCACTAACAGCATGTTAAGGGTATACTTGAAAGGATCTTTCTTTGTCTTTATGTAGTGATATCGCAGGATGTCACTGGGTAATAATGCCGCCCCTAGAGGGGCTCTGAGCGCTGAGTGAGAGCGCCAGCCCTACAGGATAGGGTGTGGGAGTGCCGGCCAGAGGAACGGGCTTACTCTAGGCCATGGCACTCCGGTTGACCCGAGAGGACACGTGACCGGTTAAGTCTACAAAGGTCCCCGATTGGGGGCTAGGGGTGGTCACGTTGTCTGGGTGGAGATCCTGCTCGTGGCCAGGGACAGAGCCAGCCACGCCGCAGAGGATATAAGCCGGGTCTCCCAGAGGGACCGGCGCTGTTGTTCATCCTGAAGAAACCTTCGTCTACGTTCTACATCCTACAGAGTCTCCAACACGTGGACTGGGACCCAAGCTGTGGTCCGGTCCGTTGTAGCTAGTTACGGTGTGATTAACGTAGTTAGCCTGGTGGTCACCACCATATGTTGTTTTTCTGTAAACGGGTAGTTACCCCGTGTGTTGGTGTTAATAATTGTGTTGCCTCCGAAGAGTGGGTCTGCGACTCAGTTGAACTCACCACATTTGTGTGTAGCAGTAACATGCTGAAGCAAGGCTTACAAGAGTATGTGATGAATGCCCTGAACCGGCTGCAAGCCGTGTGGGAGGACCTCGGCATCGTGGAGGTCCAGCGGGAGGAGAGAATAAAGAAGGCCAAGGACCTAGTGGAGGTGAGGACCTAGTGGAAGTCATGACAATAAAAGCATTTTTTTAAATTGTAGCTGGATGGTATGGGATTGTGGTGTATGTTAAATCATATTTTTGTCCGCCAAAATTAATTCAAGACAACTAACTTCCCACTGCCATAGCCAAGTCACCCTAAGTGAATCCAACCTTATATTTCCGAAGCTAAGCAGAGGTGGACTATATTTTAAATAAGTTCTACATACATGCATTAGTTCTCATGCTTGAGCATGAGGGTTTTGCCAGGTATTGTAGGCACGAGGCTGTAAGGTGGCCAGGATATGGCAGTTTTGAGTGTTATCCCAATGAGCCTGGGTTTTCACCAGTTACTCCAGTTTCCTCCCACGTTACAAACAATTATGGTCGTGGCTAAATTCCAAATCCAAGGCCCTCGTGAAAAAGTATTGAGACTCGGCGTGGCATTCGTGGCTAAACAACTCATTTTTGTGACATTTGGCAAATATTTGATACACAAGCAAAACTTAAAAGTCCTCGAATAACAAACATTTAACTTGCATTGCTTTTACGTTTGTGCTGCACAGCAATTGATGGAGCAAATGATTGCAGAAGAAGAGGACTTAAGGGAAAGTGTAGAGGAGAGGATTCATGAGCATATGAGCAACATTCAAGAACTCTGCAAAGAGCTGACTTTGCCAGCATATGAGGTATGCTGGGAGCACGTATTATGAATTCTAAACTAACAGCAAAGGTTTTAAAGTCATGTTAAATGGGAATTGATTGTCATGTCTGCAAAATAACAATGCAAGTAAGCCCATATCGGTGCATTTGTTTTATTTCTGTTGAAATGTGCTTTTACACTTACATTGGCTAAACAATCACTCAGATGTATGTGATTTAGTGATGATGGAATAAAAAAAAAATCATAGTTTAATGCTACTAATTGGAAAACGCAGCATTTGAACCTTATGGCAATACCCTCGCATAATGTCCGTGATGCAGTCATTTTTAGTCTGTTGATTGTCGGCGATGCGGCAATCGACTCATCTCGACGAGCTGTACACGATGCGCTACGGTGCATACGAGCGTTCAGGGTTTCAGCGCAATCGTCCTCGCTGCGTTTCGACATCGCGGAGTAGCACTGATTTCGGATTGATTGGTACCCCAGTCGTGGAGTTAAGTACACCCCTGGAAAAAATAGTGTCCCAGAAATCAAATATGCAATTGCCTTGGCAATTAAAGTGACCAGTTTCTCTGGGTGAAATTCAACTAGAGTATAGATTACATTTAATTATGTGCTCTGCAAAGCCATTGCCAAGACTGGTATGTACAACTGTTTTCTATATTGTGCTTTATTCAATATTGAGTTAATTTTTAAGAAGCGTTTTAATATGCATTCGCATAAATGTTTAATTGTGTTTATTAAATGCCGTAACATACTTGGTTTAATTTCAGTGCAAATATCAATTATATGCAGGCATGGATTATGGCAATGACTTAGTATTCATGGTGGAATGAACATTTAATTCATGCTTTGTAAGGTCTGATGGATAAATAGAAAACAATGCATACATTAAACCTAACACTCATGAATGCAACATGTTATCCATGTGTTTTGTTTTCTGCTGATTTAAAAATATCAATCCAAACAATACGGAATAATGTCGCATATTAAACTCGCTGGGAACTGATTTATGTGAAAAAGTCATATGTGTCATAAGTGCAAACTGTTTTAAACACGGGAAAATGTTTGACTTTACTTGAGGTGTAAGAAATAATTTCCGAAGATGAGGAACACATTACTACTATATGAAAATGTATTCATGAGCACATGTGGAAAATAACAGCACCATGCACAAACAATGTTCTGGGTCTGGTCAGTCATTTGGCCAGAATGAATATGTGATGTGCTGTATTTCAATCTTTTAGTCAACCACTTACAGCAGTGGCTTGCATGATTATGGTCTTGTAAGTAGAATAATGTGCTACGTTCTCGTGAGCATTTTTTTATGAATTCATTTCAGCTGATGGAGGAGTACCTTGTGCTGCAGCTTGAGAGCCACTTGCGGCAGAAATTGCAGCAGCTGAGAGCGAAGAAGGCGGAGCGGCTTTCTGTGCTGCAGGAGCTTGAGCATCAGCAGGCTATGCTGACCAAGGCCCTGTGCGTATCCTCTCACCCCAAGCCAGCCGGGTCCGTGCCCACGGAAGACGAACTCAATACTCTACGTCATTACGTTGATGGCCTGGAGCTGCAAAAGGTCACTTGTTTTCCAGGCCAGGTTTTCATACTTTGCATTGAAATCAATGTGTATTCGTGACAGGCTGATGTAGTATTCAATGTATCATTTACTTTGTGTTCAATGTTGTTTTTGGATTTGTTTTCCTACAGAACAGTAACTACAAGGTGTTTGTGGCCTACAAGGAGCAGATTGAAGCGTACTTTCAAATTCTAGGTGTTGGCCCTGAAACGGAGTTTGAGAGGGAGGTGATTTTCAACAATGAGAAGTTGTGTCTCTCAGATGACAGACTTTTGAAAGTTGAAGAGCTTCTCAAAGAGGTGGTGGTCAGGCCTGAGCATTTTTGTTGTTGTCATTTTTGGTTTTGTTTATAGTATGGAATAGAAAATATAAAAAAAACATCAACATTTTTTCCATAAAAGGTTTTTTGGGTTATAACATGTAAATATACGTCGTTAAAACCCGCCACCACCCGAAAGCCAACTAGTAAGGGTTGTCACGTAAACAGAACATGCCAATTCGTCACTAGTACAGCACGCCGGTGTGTTGGAGAGCCAAGCCACAACATTTACAATCTGAGTACGACATTTCGCCAGTACTTACAACTAGCTTCATCAGGCAACAGCCAGATTTGTAAATGTTGTGGCTTGGCTCTCCAACACACCGGTGTGCTGAACTAGTGACGAATTGGCCCGTTCTGTTTACGTGACATCCTTTACTAGTTGGCTGTGTCGGGTGGTGGCGGGTTTTAACGACAAATTTATATATTTATGCGATCTAACCCAAAAAACCTCTTATGGATGATATTGGTCGCGAAAGCCCACGTGTTAAACCAACTAACATCCAAATTTTTGGTTCCTTTTTCAGGTGCAGTTTAAAAAAAGAAAAATCTGAGGCAACGTGCCAAAGGCTACGCTCGGAATTGGAAGCAATGTGGAATCTTTTGCAGGTGCCTGAAAATGAGCGAAACGAGTTTGCTGCAAAAACGCAGAGCTACCAAAAATCAGTGGAGGAAGCTGTAAGCAGTGTGCGAACGAAACACATTTTTTCTGCCATGTGTTGATTGATACATATTTTTCACAATTAACTGTTTCTAACTACACTTATTTTGTTTTACTAGCTGACTTCCGAATTGAAGAGACTAGCACAGGTGAGGAAAGACAACATAAAGTGGCTAATTATACCTGTCCGGAATGAAATTGAGGACTACTGGGGGAAGTCGTACTATGGGCAAGAGCAGAGAATGGCATTTTCCCCATTCTATAATGGTAAGCATACACTCACTGCTTATTTTACAATATGGAAATCTCTGGTCCGGTAATTTCTTATTACCCTTATTCTGTTAAATGTCATATTTCCATTTTCTTTCTCCTAAACGTCCTTTCCACAGATGAATACACTGAAGACTTACTTGTGGAGCACGAGAGAGAGTTGGAGCGCATGAAGGGCTATTATGATCAGTACTGTAAACTTTTCTCCCACGTTGCAAAATGGCAACAAAGCTGGAAGATGTTTCTAGAGTTTGAGGTGACATGATATGCGACATCATTTTCAACATCCTTTTAAAAAATTTCCAACTAGGGTTGAAAGCATTAATGCATTATCTGTCTGTCTAACACGGGATCATGATAACTTTCGTAAATATGATCTAATGAACACAACTTTCTTTTGTTGCTATGAGGGATGTGCTATATAGAGAACTAGACAAATTGATCAGAGGGTTGCCTAAGACTTGGTGATGAAAACCAACGCTAAAAGGATAAACTTTGGCCAAGTCGATAACATCATGCACTTAACCTCCCCTCAATGACATTATGATGTGTGATTTCATCTCCTATAGTCCTACATGTGCCATGTGATGTCATTATTGTACAACTTAGAATATCTTTATTTAAAGCTTTCGTGACTGCAGGAATCCATATTCTTTGGGTCTTTCGGTAAAGTTACGTAGATAGGTTCAAATAAAATAACAAACCCACTGGCTATCAACAAAGATTCGTTCATGAAGCCATCCATATATATAGACAGACACAATTTCAATCGAAGATGGGTATAACCTGAGAAATCATTGGAAGGACGTTATCAACTAGTTTAAGTCATAACTAGCTGTGATATTCCCATCCTACCACCTTCCGTTGTTAGTTATTTTCGGCTCTCTGATTTTACATTAACAGGTAAAATTTCTCACCCGAACACAGCCACCTTGCTCACTGAGCTCGAGATTTTTGCTTTGCGATGTGCCATTAACATGCTAATCTCTCACATTAACATGCTAATCTCTCACATTAACATGCCCACCTCAGGGTACCCGCCGTGGAGGCCTCTCAACGATCTCACATTATCATGATAATTTTTACTGGGCAGCCCTTTGATTGGTGAGAAAACCCACCACCGTTACGGTCGCTGCCCACCACTTACATTAACATTGGCTGCTGACATTTGGGCTACGCCCATTTCAAACCTTTATGCACAGTTTACCTTTAGAAGCTAACCCCCTCTTCCTGATGACGAACGCTTGTGTTGCGATCGAAACGTCGTAGTTTTTTTGTTTTGTTATTTCCTTTGAACCTATCTTCGTGACTTTACTGAAAAACCCAAAGAATATAGCTTAGAATATATCACTAGTATTGCTAATTACTGAGAATAAATGCATATTCTGAAGTGTTACAAAAACCATGAATATGCATAACTGTTCGTCCTTGTTTCAAATACAAACCTACTAACAATACTTATACATCTTAAGCTTAAGTGTCTTCTCTTGTTGAACAGCGAAAAGCAGCAGATCCAAATCGATTTGCTAACCGTGGAGGGAATCTACTTAAAGAAGAGAAGGAAAGAGCTAAACTGCAGAAAATGCTTCCCAAGGTACAGTTCCAAAAATGCACAATAGTCATGTGCCGCATGAGCGTGGCATTGTGTGAGGAGACCGCTTGTTGAGTGTGCTGTGGTACATTTACAGCTGGAGGAGGAGCTGGCAATGCAAATTGGGGAATGGGAGGAAGCCCAGGGCTGCAAGTTTCTCGTTGACGGATGCAACTTTCTGGCATACATCTCCATGCAGCATGAGAGGAACAAAGAGCGAGAGAAGCAGGAGAGGGTACGTGATTAAAAGTAGTTTGAGCATTGTTTATGCTTGTGCAAGGGCATACTTTAAACACGATTCACTCTTTAATTAACCAATGAGGTCAGTTTTATTTTGTATCTGTCCACTGACACTGGGAATGCTGTTCCTTTCAGCAATTGAGGAAAGACAAATCGGAAGATGTAAACAACACGACAAGAACTGCACAGAAACGACCATTTATTGGCACCCCTCTTGTCAGCAAAATCAGAAAGGTAATCTATAGCCTGTGCACTCGGATATACAGCAAAATATGATCAGCTTGTATGTGCTGATATTTTGTTGAATGTAATAAACGTGTCACTTGGTCAACAAGAGCAAAGGTATGCGTAAGGAAGAATGTCTCCTTAAATCTAAAATGTTGACGTGATTCCACCTAAAAATAAGCCTTTTTTTTCTTCTTCCAGTTGAACCCAACTCCAACTGGAACAACACCAACCCTTGCTGACCCCACTGCTCGCAAGCCTTATTTGTCTGCCACAAGGGTCCGTAGAATACATCTGTCTTGTGTTGTCATATTTAGAGAAGACAATATAAATATATTCAAGTTACTGTACTTCAATGCAATGTCCTGTTTAGTTTACATGCTATATCATACAATTGTCATTCATGGCCAATGCTTTTATCTTTTCACGTGTGTTTTTTGTATTGATCGCTAACACTTAAACTGTTCAATTTATTTCCAGCTAGGGTGTGAATATTTCACAATTTTTCTAACATTTTTCATTGCACTGCCGGATGACAGTTTACCCAGCTGTGTCAATCATGGGAGTTTTTGACTTTACTTCACAACACTAGTCAATCGGGGTTAGTGAAAGGAAGATGTGGGGGTCTTGCAGGAGCCGGTTGAGAACTTAAGGATTCATAGCAGAGTGGGCTAACCACTGTTTCCTTTGTGAGTGTACATCATTTTCACTTCATGGTGTGCATTTAATAGGCTGTTTTACTTAAAAGTTCCTCAGTTTCCTGATAAAATAGTTTGAACCTAATGTGTTAATTTTGCTTTGATTACGGTGTGCAGTTTCGATTTAAAGCTTTCGTGACTGCAGGGATTCATCTTCTTGGTTCTTTCGGTAAAGTCACGTAGAAGGGAAGTAATAAAGTAATAAAAATAAAACATAATAAAATCAAATAATTCTCACGACGTTTCGGCTACAACGCAAGCAGCCGTCTTCAGGTGAAGAATGAGACACTGCCAAGCTAGGAGCTGCTTGCGTTGTAGCCGAAACGTCGTGAGAATTATTTGATTTTATTATGTTTTATTTTTATTATTTTATTACTTCCCTTCTACGTGACTGTACGGTGTGCAGCATGAGCAAGTGCAGCCAAATCCATTACTGTACTGCACTTCTATGCCTCTGGTCCATCCCTCATTATCTGCAGAGTGTGATAAGACCCTTATCCAGCAGTGGATTCACATGTAATGTATTTATGTTGCGTGTTGATTTAGGCCCAAGCCAAACCACGGCTTGGATCGCAGTCTCAACGCCCCTTGCAGAAAGATCAAAATAAAGAGAACGCCATCGCACCATGATGGTCACCAGAATCCCACCTGGACTTTGCCTCCAGTGTCACCCTGGATGCTCTTGCCAATAGGTCCAGCCAGCTCTGCCTGCTCTTGTGACGTTTTTATACGGCTTTTTACGCTTCAAAAAAGGATTACTTACCATATTCTATACCACAAACTTGCATAGTTAAGGAGCACTTATTTACAATTGTGCTTCTTGCATTTTTATACAATAATAATATACACGTGTAGATTGGTAAATGTGTAATGTTTTGACTATTATTGGGAAAGAGGAGTTTGCTAACCACCTATTTGTAATGGTTTATCAACGTGTTACAAATCAACCTCCGGTTCTGTACTATTTTTGGACTTGAGATCTTCAAACATGTATTATGAACAGTTTATATATGATTTTAAAATGTATGAAAAAGTACGCCATTTCTACATAGTAATTTTTTTTCATGTTTAAAATGAATTGTTCTGCCATTATGCAATTAAAGGGACTATGTTTGTTTGTAGTGTGGATTTTTACTTGTATTTAGTGGTTTCAAACACCAGAGGGACCCCTCGCACAAGTGTCTCTGTTGTACTGTAAAGCAAAAATGAATGTACGTCATTCTTGCAAAGCTTTTTTTTAACTTAAAATTAAACATTCTCATCAACTACAATCTACCACACCGCTGTATTTATAATGTTACACATTGTTACGGTAAACAAAGTTATTTTTTTATATTGGAGTGTGAACCTAGGCTTTGTGAAACTTTAAGACAGGACATGCCAAGACTTAAAATACTGTTACCTGCTGTTGTATAGTCTTTTTAAATATGTATATCACTGCACATTAAATGTTGGCTTGTATCATTTATAAGTCTCATGCAATAACTCTTAAGTGCATTATGCAGTAATTAAACATTTATGCATTAATTTGACATCACAAGGTGATGTATGTGCAGTTAAAATTTAATTGGAATTGGCTGCCATTTAATATATGTTGGTAAAAAAAATTCTACAGCATCACTTAACTTGATTAGGGAGCATCCTGGTTGAAATTCGAGTAACGCAGTGCTGCACATGAGATAAATTATTCAATTAAGCCCATGCGCTGGTGTACTTAATGATACAATGACCATTGAGCAGCGTTGGCAAAGAAAAGTAGAATTGTTTTTAAAACGAATATGCAAGTTATCAACAATTAGTTTGGGAATGAGTGCTTTTTAGCTGGTTAATAATAAAACATCTTTAACATACCGTAAATGTTACATGAGCAAACAGGATTTTGTTTTATTTTTGAGTAAATATACTTTTGCAAGTGCCCTCTTTTCTAGCACGTCTTGCATTGTCTTCAGCGTTACGGTTTACAGCTCCGCGCGCGTTCATTTTAACTTAATATCACTGAATACTTCGTATCCATGGTGCAGATTATTCTGTGGGTGAAAATAAAGTTTGAAGCTGTGGAATGTGGTGGCGTCATTGTTCGTTTCATCAGTCTTCCTGCTGGTCCTGTGGCGCAGCGATGTGGATATAAATCACTTCTACATTGCTGTGCCGCTTTATCTTCCTGTTTCGCATGTAAGGCATAATTGTCCTGCTTTTGACGAGCATTGGCCAAATAAATGAACCTGCATTCAGAACGTTGTACGTGTGCTTTCTATAGCCAATGGTTATAATTGTTAACGCTGTTCAACCCGTGGAAGGCAAGTCTGGACAGCATAATTGGATGTTTTCATGAAGCATTCTTAACATTCCTTTATGTACCCAGAGTTCAAATTTGAACGCCCCATGTTCAGTGTAATCACAAATTGTGTTTTAAATATATCACAAGCGGTGTGATAATAAAACACTTGAGGTGTATTTTTGTTGTTGAATTTTTGTATTAAACAGACTGCTTGTCAATCCTCTAATGAATGCAGGGACTACCCATGCCATCTCGGCCATGGAGGTTGTATATACGTTACTGGATTTCTAGCTGGTCAGTGATGAGGGGCCCAGGTCATGCTTCAGAGGGCACTCCCAAGATTGAAACAACAAAGACGAAATGACGCGTGCACTGTGATCGGAGTTGCTACATATTGTCATTGGGTCACTTGTGTTTGTGGACCGAGGGAATGTTTTCCCCACGCATTTTTGTACAGTGCTTGTGTCTGCATATGTGTAGTGAGTCCAATTGAGTCGCAGACGATGTTTTTTAGAGGCAACACTTTCATTGTAACATCAACTCGCTAACACAAAGGGGTAACTGCCCCTTCACCAGATACAGCCTAGGGTGGTGATCACCCAGCTAACTACTCTATACGTAGGAGTTAAAGCTACGGTCCCCGACCACGTGTTGATGCCTCGTAGGACGTAGAGCTTCCAGCTTTTAGACGTGGAGCTTCCAGCTTGTAGACGTGGAGCTTCCAGCTTGTAGACGTGCAGCTTCAGCTTGTAGACGTGGAGCTTCCAGCTTGTAGACGTGGAGCTTCAGCTTGTAGACGTGGAGCTTCCAGCTTGTAGACATGGAGCTTCCAGCTTGTAGACGTGGAGCTTCCAGCTTGTAGACGTAGAGCTTCAGCTTGTAGACGTGGAGCTTCCAGCTTGTAGACATGGAGCTTCCAGCTTGTAGACGTGGAGCTTCCAGCTTGTAGACGTGGAGCTTCCAGCTTGTAGACGTGGAGCTTCCAGCTTGTAGACATAGAGCTTCCAGCTTGTAGACGTGGAGCTTTCAGCTTGTAGACGTGGAGCTTCCAGCTTGTAGACATGGAGCTTCAGCTTGTAGACGTGGAGCTTCCAGCTTGTAGACGTGGAGCTTCCAGCTTGTAGACGTGGAGCTTCCAGCTTGTAGACGTGGAGCTTCCAGCTTGTAGACGTGGAGCTTCCAGCTTGTAGACGTGGAGCTTCCAGCTTGTAGACGTGGAGCTCCAGCTTGTAGACGTGGAGCTTCCAGCTTGTAGACGTGGAGCTTCCAGCTTGTAGACGTGGAGCTTCCAGCTTGTAGACGTGGAGCTTCCAGCTTGTAGACGTGGAGCTTCCAGCGTGTAGACGTGGAGCTTCCAGCTTGTAGACGTGGAGCTTCCAGCTTGTAGACGTGGAGCTTCCAGCTTGTATACGTGGAGCTTCCAGCTTGTAGACGTGGAGCTTCCAGCTTGTAGACGTGGAGCTTCAGCTTGTAGACGTGGAGCTTCCAGCTTGTAGACGTGGAGCTTCAGCTTGTAGACGTGGAACTTCCAGCTTGTAGACGTGGAGCTTCCAGCTTGTAGACGTGGAGCTTCCAGCTTGTAGACATGGAGCTTCCAGCTTGTAGACGTGGAGCTTCCAGCTTGTAGACGTGGAGCTTCAGCTTGTAGACGTGGAGCTTCCAGCTTGTAGACGTGGAGCTTCCAGCTTGTAGACGTGGAGCTTCCAGCTTGTAGACGTGGAGCTTCCAGCTTGTAGACGTGGAGCTTCCAGCTTGTAGACGTGGAGCTTCCAGCTTGTAGACGTGGAGCTTCCAGCTTGTAGACGTGGAGCTTCCAGCTTGTAGACGTGGAGCTTCCAGCTTGTAGACGTGGAGCTTCCAGCTTGTAGACGTGGAGCTTCCAGCTTGTAGACGTGGAGCTTCCAGCTTGTAGACGTGGAGCTTCCAGCTTGTATACGTGGAGCTTCCAGCTTGTAGACGTGGAGCTTCCAGCTTGTAGACGTGGAGCTTCAGCTTGTAGACGTGGAGCTTCCAGCTTGTAGACGTGGAGCTTCAGCTTGTAGACGTGGAGCTTCCAGCTTGTAGACGTGGAGCTTCCAGCTTGTAGACGTGGAGCTTCCAGCTTGTAGACATGGAGCTTCCAGCTTGTAGACGTGGAGCTTCCAGCTTGTAGACGTGGAGCTTCAGCTTGTAGACGTGGAGCTTCCAGCTTGTAGACGTGGAGCTTCCAGCTTGTAGACGTGGAGCTTCCAGCTTGTAGACGTGGAGCTTCCAGCTTGTAGACGTGGAGCTTCCAGCTTGTAGACGTGGAGCTTCCAGCTTGTAGACGTGGAGCTTCCAGCTTGTAGACGTGGAGCTTCAGCTTGTAGACGTGGAGTTTCCAGCTTGTAGACGTGGAGCTTCAGCTTGTAGAATGCAGCGACCCCGGTCCCTCTCAGGGACCCACCTTATATCCTCCCGGGTCGGGGCTGCTCCGCCCTTGGCCCCGCCCACCTTCTCGAGCGTTCTCGCTCCCTCTCGATCCCTCTTCCCGGACACGTGTTCACCCCCCTAGCCCCCCCCCCCCCCCCCCACTTGGGGGCCTCTCTGTGGACACTCCGGATCACGTGTCTACGGGGTCAACCAGAGTGCCATGGCCCGGGGCAACCCTGCCTATGGGCTGACACTCTCCCACTTTCTCCTGTGGGAGTGAGCACTACACACAGCGCTCACCAAGCTCCGCTAGGGCTGGTACTACACCCACCTACTGGGTGTACGCGATGATGGTGCATTGCACGCCGTGCTGTGCTAGAGCCGGCCTCACACAGCAACCCACCCGGTGCTGTCCGCGATGTGGGGACATCGCACGCCACGGCCCTCTCAGGCCGGCACCACACAGTGACATCCCCGATGTCACTACATATGCATGGACTGCCTGCCAAGGGAACTGTTTGGGTATGGGGTTATATTTACGTTCATGCTGCAAGAAAGCCCACAGCCAGCTATGACGGCGTTTAGCGAGACTTATTGATCTCACGTATCTTTTTTAAAATGGTATAAAGTATCACATTTTGATAGTGTACCATATCTAGCGAGATAAAAGCAACCGATGGACGATTTAATGGATATCTGTTAACAACCAGGAATTGAACAGCTTGATGTGAATTGCGATGCCAATCGTTAATCTGTAAGGGTGGTTGAGAGAAACGGGCCCTCTCGGGAACTTTTCATGTCTACAGTTTCACCTGATGACCTTAATGCATTGCTAAAGCCGCAAAAGCAATGTGATCTCGTATTGAACCTCCGTTGAAAAAAAAAAACACACAAAGCAAGACCTAAGCCTTTAGAGGTTATAAAACGCTTGAATTGATTCAGCTGGGTTATGCACTTTCAAATAGTTTATACTTAAGCAAGAGCAAACACTAAACTTGGCAGCAGGCATGTAACAACCCAGCCCTGGTGATTAGATGGATGTTCATGGCTTGGGGTCACGATTTGATTCATGAGGTAATTATTATTTTTGCATTTCATTTGTGTTGTTAGAACTGTGTGTCTCATAGCATGTTGTTTTTACTGTCTTTGGTACGCATACGCATTGTGTGTTTGCCTGTCCGTATATTCTGCACACTGCCTCTCTCTCGAATTTCTGTTTCATTTGTATTTTATCGTTTTGTTTTTACTATGTTATTGTCTGCTTTATATGCTCTGGGCTCATGTGCCATTTTGTAGTCATTAAATACTGCCTTATGCACTCAGTTGTACTATGTATTGTTTCTAATGTCCGATTTCGTCCATTAAGCCTAGAATACACACGCATAACTTTTGCATGAATCAAAAATAATCATGAGCATCAGAATCTTAATTTGAACGATACATCGTTACACTGCGTTGGGAAGTATGTCATTACGCTGAGAAAATTGGAATTATATTCATATTTAATATTTTACTTGGGTGCGATTGGGCGTGTGACTTCTCCGTCGACTACAAAGGCAACACAAAGATCTAGGAATGAGAAAGTAACAAGATAGTGAAGTTAGCAGTGAGTACAGATATAATCCTCACCGATTGTCACTCTGAACAAACCAATTCCTTTAGAATGGGTGTTCTCTCCTAGATAAATAAGCATATGCCAATTGTATACATTGTTAATCAGGAAACATTTTTTTCATTTCTCCTTATTGGGCCCCATGGTGTAAATTGTATTTCCCTTGAAGGAAACAGTGTTGGTGAAAAATGTGTCGATTTTTTTTTGCTGTACATAGGTGGTTTGTAGAGCAGCATAAGTATACAGCATCAGTCCAGTTATTGGAACCTTAATGCTGTCTGAGCATTGCAACTGTACTCACTGGTAAACTAAACTAATATATTTTTTTATTAGGTAAGGCTCGCTGAGCTATAAAGCTCTTTTTCAGAAGCAACTTGGCCACAAATAGCTCAAAGAATTAGCTTCTCAGCAGGAATTTTACAGTAGCCAAATACTCTAAACGCGTGTTTCTCAATGTGAAGGGAAAAACCGGAGGACCAGATAAAAATCCACGCGACCACGGGGATAACATGCAAACTCCAAATATACAGGCGTGTGGGTCGGGATCGAACCCACGACCATTCTGTATTCCAAGCGAGGCAGTGAACATCTCACCACCACATTTCTCATCATGTCATATACCCACATAATTCTCTGTTTGCCTTTGGTGGTCTACAGAGGTCAGGTGGCAAGAGAGCGGCTTAAGCAACAACTCATGTTGAAGTCACACACGCAGTCATATCCAAATAAGTAAAAAACAATTTTAATCAAGGCCTTGGAAACCTAAAATTAGTCTACTA